CTACTTGGAAGGCTGAGGTGGAAGGATCGCCGGAGCCCAGCAGGTCGAGACTGTGGTGCCGGCCACTGCACTTCAGTCTGGGCGACGGAGTGAGACTCCAACTCAAAACAAAAACAAAAAAAATCCCCAAAAAACCAAAAAAATTTCATACTATTTATGTAATTCTTGTTATTAAACTATTTAATAGTATTAAATTATTTATTTGAGATTATTGTTTCTTCCTACATTTAAGTCATGTAAAGACCGTTTCATCTACATTAATGATTTTATTACCCTGACTTTTAAAATTTACTAATAGATCCTTTGATATTTAGCAGGTAACATCTAAAGGAACTGGTTTAAATCCCAATGCCAAAGTATGGCAAGAAATTCCTCCTGGAAATACTGATGCCACTCCAGTAACCCATGAAACTGAAAGCTCTTGGCATGAAACAGCAGCTACATCAGTGTCTCATCCTGAGGGTAAGTATTAAATATTTCATCAGAATAGCCACATTTTGTTTTTTCTTTTTATTTCAGTAGCTTTAGGGGTTACAAATGGTCTTCGGTTACATGGTTACATTATATATGGCAAAGAAGTCTGGGCTTTAAATGTACCCACCACCTCCACCTGTGCACATTGTACCTGATAGGTGATTTTTCATCCTTCCACCCCTTCTTACCCTCCGCCTTCAAGTTTCCAGTGCCCATTACAGTATTGTGTATGCCTTTGCAGATCCTTAGTTTAGCTCCCACTTGTGCGTGAGAACATGTGGTGTTTGGTGTTCTGTTCTTGCATTAATTCTACAGTTTCATCCAAGTTGCTGCAAAAGACATTATTTCATTTTTTTTTTGTTTTGCTTTGTTTTGTTTTTGAGTTGGAGTCTCACTCTGTCGCCCAGACTGGAGTGTAGTGGCCGCTCCCGGCCACCACAACCTCGCCCTGCTGGGCTCCGGCGATCCTTCCACCGTAGCCTTCCAAGTAGCCAGAATTACAGGCACGCGCTACCACACCCGGCTAATTTTTTTATTTATTGTAGAGATGAGGTCTCGCCTGCCCAGGCGGGTCTTGAACCCACGGGCTCAGGCAATCCACTCACCTCAGCCTCCCAAAGGTACGCGATTACAGGCTGAGCCACCGAGCCCGGCTATTTCATTGGGTTTTTTTTGTTTGTTTTTTTTTTTGAGTTGGAGTCTCACTCTGTCGCCCAGACTGGAGTGAAGTGGTGGCCGCTCCCGGCCACCTCAGTCTCGACGTGCTGGGCTCCGGCGATCCTTCTGCCTCAGCCTTCCGAGTAGCCGGAATTACAGGTGTGCGCTACCATGCCTGGCTGATTTTTTTGATTTATTGTAGAGATGAGGTCTCGCTGCCCAGGTGGATCTCGAACCCGCGGGCTCAAGCAATCCTTTCACCTCAGCCTCCCAAAGGTGCAGGATTACAGGCTGAGCCACCCAGCCTGGCTATTTCATTGTTTTTAATGGCTAAAAGAATAATTACATTTTGGTTAAATGTATGACAAAACCAGTTCATTAACCTGGGCATATATCTTTTAATTATGTGATTAAATATATATTAAATATAAATATATAATATGTGGTTTGTAAGTAATTTTATTTATATCCAACCTGAAGATTGTCACTAATTTCTTTTTTTTAATTTTTAATGTTTTTTTTTTTTTAGTAGGAGTCTCACTCTGTCACCCAGGCTGGAGGGCAGTGGCATGCTTCTGGCCACCGCAGCTTCAACCTGCTGGGCTCAGGCGTTTCTTCAGCCTCAGCCTTCCAAGTAGCTGCAACTACAGGCACACGCCACCATGCCTGAATAATTTTTTAATTTGTTGTCTTACCAAGTTTCCCAGGCTGGGCTCAGATAATCCTCACACTTCGGCCTCCCAAAGTGCTGGGATTATAGGTGTGAACCACCACACCCGGCCAATTGTCACTAATTTCAAGTAGTAGCTATGTCTTTGGGTCCAGCATCTAACCCATTTATAATATATATAAATCCGTTTTGATCTATAATCTTCGATTCTGTTATTTACTCACTGTTTGACTTTGAGCAAATAACTTAATTTCTCTGCTTGTTTCCTTCATCTATAAAACAGAAACAACAATTACCTACAGCATAGGATTTTCTGAGAATTAAGTGAATAATGTACATAAAGCAGTCTGATACATAGTGCTATATAAGTTTTAGCTATTGTTAATCATTTTAGTTTATCTATCGTGTCCAAAACATATCTCCTTTTGGGAGATAACTTTCTTTTCTTTTCTCTTTTCTTTTTGAGTTGGAGTCTCACTCTGTCATCCAGGCTGGAGTGCATTGGCACATTCACGGCCACTGTAGCTTCGGCTTGCTGGGCATAGGCGATCCTTCCACTTCAGCCTTACAAGGAGCTGGAAATACAGGCATATGTCACCATGCTTAGCTAATTTTTTGATTTATTGTAGAGATGAAGTCTCACCAGGTTGCCCAGGCTGGTCTTGAACCCCTGGTCTCTGGCAGTCCTCTCACCTCTGCCTTCTAAAGTGCTGGGATTACAGTCTTGAGCCACCACACCTGACCCTTTTCTGTTTTTTTGAGTTGAAGTCTCAGTCTGTTGCCCATGCTGTCATTCAGTGACAGAATCATGGCTCACCTCAGTCTCCAAACTCTCAAGCTCAAACATTCCTCATGCGTCAGCCTCCTAAGTAGCTGGGACTACACGTGTGGGCCACCATACCCGGTTAATCTTTTGTTGTTGTTGTTTGTTTGTTTGTTTTGGGGGGTTTTTTTTTTTTGGAGAGACAAGGTCTTGCTATGTTGCCCAGGTTGGTCTCAAACTCCTGAGCTCAAGCAATCATCCTACCTCGGTTTCCCAAAGTGCTGCAATTATAGGTGTGATCCACTGTGCCTGTCCAGAGATAACTCTTATTTAAAATCATATAGCCCGGTGTGGTGGCTCGTGGCTGTAATCCCAGCACTTTGGGAGGCAGTGGTGAGAGGATTGTCTGAGTCTAGGGATTTGAGACTAGCCTGGGCAACTTGGCGAGACCTCATCTCTACACTGTATCAAAAAATTAGTAAGCCTCAGTGGTGCACGCCTGTGGTTCCTGCTACTTGGAAGGCTGAGATGAAAGGATCACATGAGCCTAGCAAGTCAAACCTGCAGTGACCATGAGCATGACCCTGTACCCCAGTCTGGGTGACAGTGAGCCTACTAAATATAAAAAATAAACAAAACCATATGAACATTTTTCTCAACTGGTAGAATTCCTTGACATCTTGTTATAGGAGACATATTGCTCAGAATTCCTAAAGATAGGATTTAAATAATTATTATTTGTGTTTTTTTTCTTGACTACAGGTAATACAGACCTATCAGAAGATATGTGTAAGGAATATGAAGTAATGTATTCTTCATCTTGCGAAACCACAAGAAATACTGCAGGCATTGAGGAATCAACTGATGGAATGATTTTAGGACCAGAAGATCTAAGTTACCAAATATATGATGTTTCTGGTAAACTTGATGTTTTTATTGTTAAAATGAAAATTCAGTATACTTTCTCTCCCCTAGGCCCCTACAGAGTCTCTTTATCATTGTTTTGAGAAACCTGTGTCATTGTTTTCTTATTTGAAAAGGAACTTGTGTTAGTAAAATGTCAGGTGATTGTTAAGCCATTTTCAGATAATCAGACATGAAATTTGTAATTTAAAATGATTGTTTACTTTGAGTGTGGTTTTATTAAAGAAATTGTGAAGCCGGGCTTGGTGGCTCAGCCTGTAATCCCATGCTTTGGGAGGCTGAGGTGAGTGGATTGCCTGAGCCCGCGGGTTCGAGACTTGCCTGGGCAACTTGGCGAGACCTCATCTCTACAATAAATCAAAAATTAGCTGGGTGTGGTAGCACGTGCCTGTAGTTCCAGCTACTTGGAAGGCTGAGGCGGAAGGATCGCCAGAGCCCAGCAGGTTGAGGCTGCGGTGGCCGGGAGCGGCCACTGCACTCTAGTCTGGGCGACAGAGTGAGACTCCAACTCAAAAAAAGAAAGAAAAAAAAAAGGAAATTGTGAAATTAAAGATATAGGAAAAAATAAGTAAGAGACTTAAATTACAGTTTTTCAGTGTGTCCAAGTTTCTCAATCTGTTAGGTTAAGGCAAGTTCTGTCAAGTTTTCCTGTCACTTTTGTCTGCATGAAATTTATGTATAACTTTTAAATTGCCGAGGTGATTTTTAAGGGAAAAAACTGTATTAAAAACGTGGATTCTGCTACAGTTCAACATCTGAAATACTTTTTCATGTTAATTTAATGAACATGGATTTTTATTTTTTATTTTTATTTTTTGAGTCATCAGAATCTCACTCTGTCACCCAGGCTGGAGTGCAGTGGCAGGCTCATGGCCATCTCAGCCTTGACCTGATGGGCTCAGGCAATCGTTCCACCTCAGCCTTCCAAATAGCTGGGACTACAGGCGTGCACCACCACGGTGGGCTAATTTTTTTATTTATTGTAGAGATGAAGTTTCACCAAGTTGTTCAGGCTGGTCTCAAACCTGTGGATTCAAGCAATCCTCTCACCTCGGCCTCCCAAAGTGCTAGGATTATAGGCATGAGCCACCACGCCCGGCCAAAAATGGATATTTAGTAGTCAAATTTAAAACGGACAAAATTTTAAAGAAACTACAAATGAACCACAGATCCTATCTAATTTTCTTTTTCTTTTTCTTGTTTTTGAGTTGGAGTCTCAGTCTGTCACCTAGGCTGGAGGGCAGTGGTACACTCCCAGCTACTGCAGCCTCGACCTGCTGAGCTCAGGCAACCCTTTCGCCTCAACCTTCCAAATACTTTTTCTAACTAATTTTTCTAATATCTAAAGGATCTTTTTGAAAATTAATTATAGGCGGGACTCGGGGGCTCAGACTATAATCCCAGCACTTTGGGAGGCCAAGGCGAGTGGGATGCCTACACCCACAGGTTCAAGACCAATCCAGGCAACTTAGCAAGACCTTGTCTCTACAATAAATTTTTTAAAAAATTGGCCAGATGTGGTAGAGCCCGCCTGTAGTTCCAGCTACTTGGGAGGCTGAGGTAGGAGGATTGCCTGAACCTACCTAGCAGGTCAACGCTAGGATGACTGTGAGCATGCTACTGTATTCCAGCCTGGGTGGCAGAGTGAGACTCTGACTCAAAAATAATAATAATAATTATAAATGCAAAGTAGGTATTTCTAATTCTTCTTTTAAATAACTCTGTGACTTTGAAAAAGATACATGAACTTTGTCCTCAATTTCCTCATAATAAACATTTGCATTTGATTTCTGAGGTCTGTTGGCTTATAAGGTGATTTCTAAAGTAGGAGGGGTACCGTATTTTTATGTGATAATTTAAGGTGATAAGTTCTTTCTACGTGTGGTCAAAATTTGCCTAACTGCTGCTCCTTTGTTTTTTTTTCTTTTTTTGAGTTTGGGTCTCACTCTTTCGCCCAGGCTGGAGTGCAGTGACATGCTCATGGCCACTGTACCCTTGACCTGCTGGGCTCAGGCTGTCCTTGCACTTCAACCTTCCAAGCAGCTGGAACTACAGGCACTCACCACCACGCCTGGCTAATTTTTTGATTTATTTTAGGGACGAGGTCTCACCTAGTTGCCCAGGTTGGTCTTGAACCCCTGGACTCAGGTAATCTCTCGCTTTAGCCTCCCAAAGTGCTGGGATTACAGGCTTGAGCCACCACGCCCTGCCAGAAAGAGACTTTAAAGTTGAAGGCAGAACATATTGTAGTATGGAGTGGCACAGGTCAAATATATCGATCTGCACTAAGTTGGAAAGGTAAAATTGGAAAAGTAATGTTCTTTTGATAAATTTAATTTTATTTATAATTAGAAACTTTTGTCCACTTATTTAGTTTATACACAAAAGTGAGAGTTAAAATATAACCAGCAGTGAAGATTAGTTAGATTTAGACTTAAATAAGTTTTAAAAAAGTAAATATTGTAGAAGAAAACAATAGTAGCGCTAGTGATATCATTCCACTAAGAAGAAAACAGGTGGATGTGAAAGTGATAGCAGTGAAAGTGTTAGTAGTTTCGAAGAATTAGAAGACAATGCATTGTTAAGTGAAGAATGGGAAGATGTTGCGGAAAAAGACAGTCCTTCAGCAGAAATAAATTTTGTTGTATATCTTCAGACAACAGGGCAAGTAATATAAGAGCACTGATTGACTATTTTACTCTGTATTTTACAAATGAATTATTGGACAGTGTAATAAAAGAAACACATTGTTTTTTTTGGGGGGGGGTTGAGTTGGAGTCTCACTCTGTCGCCCAGACTGGAGTGCAGTGACCGTTCCCGGCCACCGCAGCCTTGAGCTGCTGGACTCCGGTGATCCTTCCACCTCAGCCCTCCAAGTAGCTGGAACTACAGGCGCACACTACCATGCCCGGCTCATTTTTGATTTATTGTAGAGATGAGGTCTCGCCAAGTTGCCCAGGTGGGTCTCGATCCCGCGGGTTCAGGCAGTCCACTCACCTCAGCCTCCCAAAGTGCTGGGATTACAGGCTGAGCCACCAAGTCCGGCTAAGAAACACATTGTTATGAGGATGAGAAAATATAGAAAAAGCAACTGTCACACAAATTGATTTGGCATAAGTGGTATGAGGATGACAGAAATTTTTAGTTTCTACCAGTTATCCTTAATATTGGAATAACTCAAGTGCTAAATTTGCAAGAGTACTGGTCAACTGCTTTCAGTAGTAAAATACTCTTCAGAACATTCAGTAGAGAAAGATTTATGCAAATCTCCTAGATGCTTCATTTGAAAATACCAATGTTGAGTGATGGGATGATCAGAACTCGTATTCAGAAGACCAGTAATTATTTGGAATACATTTCAAAATTTTCCCAGTATTTCATACCAGATCAGGCACTTTTTGTTGATGAATCCATTGTTCAATTTAGAGGGTAAATATCATTTATGACATACAATCCATATAAATCTACCAAATGGGGTATTACACATTTATCAAGAATGTTGATTCGAAACCAGAGTATCTTTTTTTCAATTCTTCTCAACTATGGCAGCATAACAGCCAAAAGCATCATTCGACCTGATCTTCCAGTAAGCACCAGTATTCCATTATATTTATATAAAAAGTTGTTGGAAAAAGCTCCCAATGCAGCAGGATACCATATGTTTACTGACTGATATTACACTAGTGTTGTCCTAGCAGAAGAGCTAGTAAAGATGAAATATCATCTTACTGGCACAAAGTCAATCGAACCAGAATACCAGCAGAACCCAAAAAGCTGAAGTTTTTAATGAGAAAACTTTGTATATAGGTAGGGAAAATAATCTTACACTTTGTGCATGAAAGGTCAAAATGATTGTTAAAATTCTCAGCACTTGGAATCATGTAGGAATGAAATCTATGACAAGGACATTACATGGTGAAAACATACCAGTCAAAAAGCCTGAAATGATTCTAAATTATATTGTAAATATGAACAGTGTTGATCATGTGGATCAATAGGCTTCTGCATATTGTTTTTTGTGAAAATCTTTAAAATAGTGGAGGAAATTACTCTGGGGATAAAAAATGTGTTACTGACTCCTAGATGCTGAACCAAGTATCAAAAAAAAGAATGAAAAACCTATGTCCCACTGTGTGTAGTGGCTCACGCCTGTAATCTCAGCACTATAGATGGCGGAGGCAAGAGGATTACCTGGGCTCAGGGGTTCGACACCAGCCTGAGCATTATGGGGAGACCTTGTCTCTACAATAAATAAAAAAAATCAGCGGGGCATGGTGTTTGCAGCTGCTTAGAAGGCTGAGGTGGAAGAATCACCTGAGCCCAGGAGGTCAAGACTGTGATGGTCTTGAGCGCACTAGTGTACTGTAGCCTGGGTGACAGAGTGAGACTCCATCTCAAAAAAATAATAAAAACAAATAAAATAAGCATGCCCAGGAAGGTATAGTGCTCTAAAATCATGGAATGAAAAAAGTATTAAGAGAGTGAAATTTAAGGAATGAGAAACCTCAGATTTATTACCAATAAAAGATATAGTAATATAAAAATGTATCTCATTTGGTTTAGCTAGTTTCTGTCTTCATATTTAAATTACTCACTGGGTGCAGTGACTCATGGCTGTAGACCCAGCAACTTGGGAGGCAACTTACTGAGACCTCATCTCTACAATAAATCAGAAAAATTGGCCGGACAGCCCATGACACACCTGTGGTTCCAGCTACTTGGAAGACTGTTGTGGAAGGATCACCTGAGCCCAGCAGGTCGAGGCTGCTGTGGCCTGGGCGACAGAGTGAGACTCTGACTCCAAAAAAAATCCAAAAAAATAATTAAAATTACTCTTGTTTTTGTTCTTTGAGTTTTCGTTAAAGGAATAAGTAGTTAACATTTTTTAAGTGTTTAGGGCAGTGACTTACAATATGATAGCTAAGTGCTTCTAGTATCAATGGTGAGTTAATTTTCTGATGAAATAACTGTTAACCTAATATGATGTTTATCTGAAGAAAGACTATGTTAAAAGAAATTAATTAGCCCCTGAACTATCCAGTTGTAAGAATAATAACAACAGGTTTGCGGTGAATTTTAATTTATGGCTACTTGGTGACTTCTGAATATAACTATGTAAAGTTCACCACCTGTGGTAACTTGATATTAACTTTTCTCCCCCCCCCCTTGTTTTCTGCCATCAGGAGAAAGCAATTCAGCAATTTCTACAGAAGACCTAAAAGAATGTCTGAAGAAACAATTAGAATTCTGTTTCTCACGGTACATAATCATTTTTATTGATATAATCCTTTATTGAGATTGGTTAGTCTGTATCAAACACTTGTAGAATAGAGTTAATGATGGTTGTAGCCTTTGAATGATCTATTTGGTATCAGTGTATTCCCCCCACCCCCAGCTGTTTTTTTATTTTTTATTTTTTTGGAGTCAGGGTCTCTCTCTGTTGCCCAGGACACGGAGTGCAGTGACAAGATCACAGCTCAGCACAGCCTCGATCTCCTGGGGTCAAGTGATCCTCTTGCCTCAGCTTCCTGAGTAGCTGGGACTATAGGCGCATACCGCGTCTGGCCAATTTTTAAATTTTTTTTTTTGCTAAGATTATAGGTGTGAGCTACCACACCCAGCCACTTACTTTCTTTTTGAGTCAGTCTTACTCTGTTGCCCAGACTGCAGTGTAGTGGGATGATCACAGCTCACTGTAGCCTTGAACTCCTGAGATGAAGTGGTCCTTTCACCGCAGCCTGAGACCTGCTGGACTCAGGCAGTCTTTCTGCTTCAGCCTTTCAAGTAGCTGGAACTACAGGCACGCACCACCATGCCCAGCTAATTTTTTGATTTATTGTAGAGATGAGGTCTCACTAAGTTTCCCAGGCTGGTGTCAAGCCCGCGGGTTCAGGCAATCCTCTCACCTCGGCTTCCCAAAGTATGGCAGCTAGGACTACACGGATGTGCTGCCATACCCCACCAGTATATTTTTTAAGTAGATTTAAAGAAATCTACTTCAATTTGTTAGGCTGGCGATCTATTCTCAGTAGAAAGATAATAAAAACTTTTTCATTGGATACTTTTTCTTTTTTGTTTGAGTTAGAGTTTCACTCTGTCACCCAGGCTAGAGAACAGTAGCATGCTCATGGCCACTGCAGCCTGGACCTCCCGGGCTCAGGCGATCCTTCTGCCTCAGCCTTCCAAGTAGCTGGAACTATAGGCGCACACTACATGCCCGGCTAATGTTTTTATTTATTGTAGAGATAAGGTCTCGCCAGGTTGCCCAGGCTGGTCTCGAACCTGCGGGCTCAGGCAGTCCTTTCACCTTTTCCTCCCAAAGTGTTGGGATTATAAGAATGAGCCACTGTGCCTGGCTGGATACTTTTTCTTTTTTCTTTTTCTTTTTTTGAATAGAGTCTCTCTGTCACCCAGGCTGGAGTGCAGTGGCATGTTCACAGCTACTGCAGCCTCGACCTGCTGGGCTCAGGCAGTCCTTCTGCTTCAGCCTTCCAAGTAGCTGGAACTACAGTCACACACCACCATGCCCAGCTAATTTTTTGATTTATTGTAGAGATGAGATCTCACCAATTTCCCAGGCTGGTCTCAAGCCCGCGGGCTCAGGCAGTCCTATCACCTCGGCTTCCCAAAGTGCTAGGATTATAGGTATGAGCCACCGTGCCTGGTCCAGATACTTTTTCTATGAGCATATTCAGGTTTAGAGGTCTCAATAAGTAATTCTCTCTTAATTTATATATTTAGTTGGCTCTTTAACCTTGGTCATGAGATGTTTTTCTTTTAGTATAAGTGTAAGGAGTACAAATGCAGTTTTGTTACTTGGGCATATTGTGTAGTGGTGAAGTCTGAGCCTTTAATGTAATCATCACCTAAATTTTTCATTCTTCACAACCCTCCTAGCCATGGTTATTTTTAGCAAGATAGCAAGCAGATAGGCAAAGAGTTTACATTATCAGCATCGTCTGTTAAATAAGGAGTTCTTTCAGTCAACCTCTTACAGCTCGAAGGTCCTAAAATGTCAGTATATAGAACTACCACTTCCAAAATTAGACAGGAGTTTGGATATACTTGCAAATGTAATGCCTTCCATTTTTCCTATCTCTGGTGAATGATAAGACCAGTGAACCTATTTTTCAAGCTAGAAACCTGAATTTGGCTAGATGTGGTGGCTCATGCCTGTAATCCCAGCACTTTGGGAGGTCAAGGTGAGGAGATTGCCTGAGCAGTCCAGGGGTTTGAGACCTGCCCGGGCAACTTGGCAAAACCTCGTCTCTACAATAAATCAAGAAAAATCAGTCAGGAGCAGTGGCATGTGCCTGTAGTTAAGGATACTCGGAAGGCTGAGGTGGTAGGATCACCTGAGCCCAGCAGTTCGAGACTGCAGTGGCTGTGAGCGTGTCACCACACTCCAACTTGAGTGATAGAGTGAGTAAGACTCCAACTCAAAATAATAAAAAAAAGAAGAAACCTGGTTTTTATGATAGTCTTCTTTATTTCGTTATACACAGTACAATCTTGGCTCGAGTTTAATTGACTCTTTGTCCTAAATATCTCCCATTTTCCCCTCCTCTGTATTATTTGCCTTTATATTCTTTTTTTTTAGAGTCAGAATCTCACTCTGTTGCACAGGCTGGGAGCTCTCTCATGTCTACCGCAGCCTCGGCCTGCTGGGCTCAGGCGATCCTTCTGCCTCAGCCTTCCAAATAGCTGGAAACAGGCGTGTGTCACCATGCCCGGCTGAATTTTTTGCTTTATTATAGAGATGAGATTTCAGCAAGTTGCCCAGGCTTGGTCTTGAACCCATGGACTCAGCCCGCCCTCTTGCCTCCACTTCCCGAAGTGCTGGGATTACAGGCATGAGCCACTCTGCCTGGCCTATTTTAAAAATCTTTCCTACTGACTGGATGATTTGTGGGTCTGCTTATATTGTCTGAGTTTTTTCCTTTGATTCTGTCTTAAATTTTTGCCTTTTTGTGTGTCTTATAAATTTTAATTGTATGCTGTACATAAAAGAAGCCTAGCAGCTGCAGGTGACATATTTTCTCCCTGCTACAGAGTGTGAACTTTTTTCTGTTAGAGTGAAATGCTGATTGCTACAATCCAGTCAGGAATTGAGCTGGGTCAGGGCTGAGCAACCATTTTAGTTAGACTTAGTTCATCTCTGATTTATCTCTGTCCCTCCTATACAGCCCTCTCAGACTACTGATTTAGAGTTTGGTGGCAGTTTTCTGTCACCTTAATCCTCAAACACCAAGAAAATTTAGATCTGTTCTTCAGAGGTTTAAGATTAGCTCTTTAGCCTCTTACCCCATACAGCCTCAAAATCTGGCAAATTTCCTATGGGAGAGACTTATGTTTGATGCAGTTTTTCTCCTTCCACCGGGACTTAATCACAAGACCACATGGATTTTATTCTACCTTTTCTGCATGGCTCCCAATATCCTATTTTTCTCCTTAGAGCTCAGAAGTGGGAGACTGAGGTGAGTGGATTGCCTGAGCCCACAGGTTTGAGACCAGCCCAGGCAACTTGGCGAGACTTCTTCTCTACAATAAGTCAAAAATCAGCTATGCGTGGTAGTGTGCCCCCGTAGTTCTAGCTACTTGGAAGGCTGAGGCGGAGGGATCGCCAGAGCAGCAGGTCAACGCTGGGGTGGCTGTGACCGTGCCACTGCACTCCAATCTGGGCGACAGAGTGAGAGTCCAACTCAAAAAAAAAGAAATAGAAGACATGTTTGTGGAAGATTAACTGTGTTTCAGGGGCTTTTGTAGCTTGAATTCTTGACTGTCTTATACACACTAGTACATACACCCCATGCCTGGGCACGATTGCCTGAAGCTCTGCTGGTTTCTCTGTTGCCCAGTAGGGTCTCAGCAAGGATCTGTAAATGCTGTCAGGAAGGAAAGATCTTCCTTCTAGTATTTTAGTCATTTTGTCCTTGAAGCTTCTATAGCTCTCCTACACCTCCAAAAACGTGTTTTGTGTAATTTATTCACTCTATTTTAGTTGTTGTTTTGGGAGTTCCCACTTGTCATGATTTACCCCATTCTAGTCAGGACCATGATACAGCTCAAAACCAGCTCTGCAATTGATAATTTGTAGCTCAGCAAAATTGCCATTAGTTCATACAAGTATTACTCATAAATAGGTAAACCTTAAATGTTATATTCATTCATTTGATTTACCTCTGACAAAGTACAGTCTCTTTTGCTAAGAGTTTTGACACACTGTTTTTGTTTTTGTTTTTTTGAGTTAGAGTCTCCATTGCCCAGACTGGAGTGCAGTGACCGCTCCTGGCCACCCCAGCCTCAACCTGCTGGGTTCTGGTGATCCTTCCACCTCAAGCCTTCCAAGTAGCCGGAACTACAGGCGCGCACTACCACACCCGGCTACTTTTTGATTTATTGTAGAGACGAGGTCTCGCCAAGTTGCCCAGGTGGGTCTTGAACCTGCGGGCTCAGGCAATCCTCTCGCCTCGGCCTCCCAAAGTGCTGGGATTACAGGCTGAGCCACCCAGCCCGGCCTGACACACTGTTTTATAAGAATAGACGTGATAGGCTGGGCTGCTCATGCCTGTAATTCCAGCACTTTGAGAGTCCGAGGTGGGAGAATCACTTGGGCAAGGAGTTTGAGACTAGCCTGAACAACATAGCAAGACCTCGTCTCTATAAAAAATTATCTGGGTATGGTGGTGTATACCTGTAGCTCTCACTACATGGATGACTGAGGCAGGACACAAGTTTGAGGATGCAGTGAGCTGTGATTATGCTACTTCACTTTAGCCTGGGTGACAGTGAGACTCCATCTCTTCATTTACAAAAAAAAAAGACCTGCTAAAAGTTGATTTAGGCTTACAACTTTTTAGTTGTACAAAGATGTTTATAGAAGTCTTATTTTCAGGTTCTTAAGGAGTATCTTGATTGGGCTGATTTATTTACCTTTTCTTTTTTTTAAGACACAGAATCTCACTCTGTCACCCACCTAGGACTGGAGTGCAATGACACAGCCTCCCAAAAAGCTAGGACTACAGGCACATACCACCACGCTTGGTTAAATTTTTATTTTTAGTTTTTGGGATAGAATTTTGCTCTGTTGCCCAAGCTGGATGCTATAGTGTGATCATAGCTCACTGCAACCCTGGACTGGGCTCAAGCAATTCTCCTATCTTGGCCTCCTGAGAAGCTGAGCCTACAGGTGCATTACTGCACCTGGCTTTTTTTTTTTTTTTTGAGTTGTAGTCTCACTCTGGCCCAGGTTGAAGTACAGTCATACGGTCACAACTTTCGCTGTAGCCTTGACTTCCTAGACTCAAGCAATGCTCAGTGGGATTACAGGTGTGAGTCACTGTGCCTGGCCTGGGGAAATATTAATTTATTTTATGCTGAAGTGTTAGTTTTAACCATTACTAATATATATTCTCACCTCCTCCAAAAACAGCCACTACCTGTAACCTAAAAATGTCATTACTACTCTATTTTAATGGAATTTGAACATAAGGAACCTACTCTTTGCCAAATATTAGGGTGTTGAAACACTTTATTGAACACAAAGATCCTTGATGGGGGAAACAAAACAATATACATAATAAGCAACATAGAAATATGTTATGTGATAAAAGCTATGGAAAAGCATTCAAGTGCAAGGTTAAAGGAATTAGGAGTGCTTGTGTGAAGTTTTATTTTATTTTATTTTATTTTTGAGTTGGAGTCTCATTCTGTCGCCCACACTGGAGTGCAGTGGCCGCTGCTAGCCACTGCAGCCTTGTCCTGCTGGGCTCTGGCGATCCTTCTGCCTCAGTCTTCCAAGTAGCTGGAACTACAGGCACGTGCTACCACGCCTGGCTAATTTTTAAATTTTTTTTTATTTATTGTAGAGATGAGGTCTCACCAAGTTGCCCAGGCAGGTCTCGAACCCACGGGCTCATGCAATCTGCTCACCTCAGCCTCCCGAAGGTGCGGGATTACAGGCTGAGCCATCAAGCTCGGCTCGTGAAGTTTTAAATAGGGTGGTCAGATTAAGCCTCTTTGAGAAAAAAGGTTACTTCAGAGAATATTTGTTAATAATAAGACATGAATTTGACTTTATCTCAGTTTGTTAAATAAGATATTATGTGTGAGATAAAAGTGTTTGCAACTTTTTTTTTTTTAAGACAAATGGTCTTACCGCGTCATACAGGCTGGGGTACTTTGGCATGATCATAGTTTTTTCTGCATTCTCGAACTCATGGCCTCAGGCTATCCTCCTACATCAGCATCCCAGCAGCTGGAACTATAGGCACACACCACCACACTTGGCTAATTTTTAAATTATTTGTAGAGATGAAGTTTCACTGTGTTTCCCAAGCTGCTCTTGAACTCCTGGCCTCAAGCAGTCCTTCTGCCTCAGCCAAAGCACTGAGATACATCTTCATTTTTAATGCACCTTAGATAATCTTTTGTCTTAATTTTAAATATATATATTTTAGACTGGGTGTGGTGGCTCACGTCTATAATCCCAGCACTTTGGAAGGCCGAGGTGTGAGGATTACCTGAGCCCACTGGTTCAAGATCACACTGGACAACTTGGAGAGACCTCATCTCTACAGTAAATCAAAAATTTAGCTGGGTGTGGTGACGTGTGCCCGTGGTTCCAGCTACTTAGAAGGCTGAGATGGAAGGATCACCTGAGCCCAGCAGATCCAGGCTGTGGTGACCGGGAGTGTGCCACTGCCCTCCAGCCTAAGTGACAGAGTGAGATGCTATTTAAAAAAAAATATATATATATATGAATGAATATGTATGTATTTAAATTATTAAAGTCAAACATGCTCATAAAAGAGTAAACATTTAGAAATGGAAAAATCCTTCATGAGTCAGTTCAAAGTTAAATTATAGAACTATACTATATATAATATTTTACCATGCTGTTTAATATTAAACCTCTTTCCATATAAATGTAATCCTTTGTCCTTAACTGTTGGTTCACATATGTTTGGGGATTCATAAGCTGTAATAAATACTAGGTACTATCTGATATATGTGTACTATGTTATTGTCTTTTTTTTTTTAAGTCATAGTCTTACTTTCTTGCCCAGGCTGAAGTGCAGTGGCATGCTCACGGCCACCGCAGCCTCGAACTTCTGGGCTCAGGTGATCCTTCCGCCTCAGCCTTCCAAGTAACTGGAGCCACAGACATGTGCCACCATGCTGGCTAATTTTTTGATTTATTTAGAGATGAGTTCTTGCCATGTTGCTCAGGCTGATCTCGAACCCCTGAGAAGTGCACACTACCTATGCCCAGCTAATTATTTATTTATTGTAGAGACAACAAGGTCTCACCATATTGTCCAGGCTGGTCTTGAACTCCTCAGGCATTCTTCTCATCTTAGCCTCCCAAACTGCTGGCATTACAGGTGTAATCCACCACATCTGGCCTGCTATGTTATTTCTGATAGCATAATTTTGTTTCCCTAGACTTTGTGATAAAAGTAAATAAGCTGCCTCTTTAGGTGCTTTTTAAGAATTGCTTGTTTTATAGGACTGTTGTTTCTGTTTCTTTCAGAGAAAATTTATCAAAGGATCTTTACTTGATATCTCAAATGGATAGTGATCAGTTCATCCCAATTTGGACAGTTGCCAACATGGAAGAAATAAAAAAGCTGACCACAGACCCTGATCTGATTCTTGAAGTATTGAGATGTATGTAAAAATGCCTTTTAGCTTATATTTAAAAATTTTAAAGCTAAATATTATTTTGATTTCTGATCATGCAGGGAATTTTTTTAAACTGCCACCCTCTTTCTGATCCAGTAATTTAGTTTTATTTTTATTGAATGGTGTGTGTGTGTTTGTATGTGTATACAGCTTCTATATCAGCTCTATACCTTAGTTGTTCATCTTGATGCCTACTTAGCAAGTATAAGAAATTAAATCTCATTTTTTTCTGGGTTGTTTGAAAGCAATGTGTCAACCAGGTGCGGTGGCTCAAACCTGTAATCCTAGCACTTTGGGAGGTCGATGAAGAGAGGAAAGTCTGGGCCCAGGGGTTCAAGAACACCCTAGGTAATTTGGTGAGACCTTGTCTCCACAATAAGTGAAAAAATTAGCCAGGAATGGTGGCACATGCCTGTAGTTCCAGCTACTTGGAAGACTGAGACTGAAGGATTGCCTCAGCCCAGCCCAGCCCAGCCCAGCCCAGCAGGTTGAGGCTTCTGTGACCGTGAGCATGCCACTGTATTCCAGCCTGGGCAACAGAGTGAGACTGACTCAAAAGAAAAAAAACCCAATGTGTCATTATCACACCCCTTTAAAGCAGTGTATTTCAAACTTTTGAACCCAAGTAAGAAGTACATTTTATATCACCGCCCAATATACACCATGTTCCTCCATCAACTGACATGTTAGTTATGTGTGTTAACACCACATTTTTGTTTTATTTTCAGTCAGAGTCTTACTCTGTCATCCATGTTGGAACCATCTTGCCTTTGGCCTCCCAAAGTGCTGTGGTTTCAGGCGTAAGACACCGCCCCTGGCCAATACTAAATATTTGTAATGAACTTATCTTTTTTATTCTAAACTTATTTTATAAACTAATGAGTTGCAACCTATAGTTTGACAAACTCCAATCTGTCGTTTGGTAAAGGTTTTATACATTTTTGATTGAAGGAATTTTTAGTGGATTTTGTGTCTTGTATCAGTATTTCTTGGTAAGCTCTCTTTAGTGGGTTTTGTTAACTATTTCGCTGAATAAAAGCAGTTTTCACTTTTATATGAAATGTTTCAAAGTTAAAATATAGCCAGTCCAATAACAGACTTATGTGGGATAGAAGATTTTCATTCCCCAAGGGTTATAAACATTGTTAGATTCTCTACTTGCTTTGTATAGACATCGTTTCTTTTTCTTTCTTTTTTTTTTTTTTTTTTTTTTGAGTTGGAGTCCCACTCTGTCACCCAGACTGGAGGGCAGTGGCCGCTCCCGGCCACCACAGCCTCGATCTGCTGGGCTCTGGCGATCCTTCCGCCTCAGCCTTCCAAGTAGCTGGAACTACAGGTGTGCACTACCACGCCCAGCTAATTTTTTTATTTATTGTAGAGATGAGGTCTCACCCAGTTGCCCAGGCAGATCTCGAGCCTGCGGGCTCAGGCAATCCACTCACCTCAGCCTCCCAAAGTGTGGGATTACAGACTGAGCCACCGAGCCCAACTTGACATCATTTCTTAAAATGACCCAGTCTTATGTACATAACTAAATTGGCAGGGATAGGCAGAGTCCTCCACCTGTTTCCTAGCCTTCACTTTTAACTGCTTCTTTTAGTCCCTTTATTTACCTGCTCTGAGATATGTGGCATATTATCTCCCTGAGGGAATAGAAATTAAAATTTTGGCTTTGTGGTACTAAATTTATTCAGTATTTCCTCAAAATCAGCATCTAAAAGGTGACTTCTAGGTCTCTGTAGTAGTATTTAAAAGTAAAGTTGAAATTAAAGACAGCTTTAATCATCTATGTATAGTTTTTGGTTTAAAGACTTTTAGATTTTAATTTCTTTTAAAACTCTTTCATACTCAGATAAACTTTTATGAGTTAGGGATTTTATTCTGTTGCCCAGGTTGGAGTATATTGGCCTGATCACAGCCTTGACCTATTGAGCTTCGGTGATTCTTCTGCTTCAGCCTCCCAAGTGACTGGGACTGTAGGAATGCACTACTACACCCAGCAAATTTTTTAATTTTTTTGTAGAGGTCTTGCTATGTTGCCTAGGCTGGTCTTGAACTTCTGGGCCTCTCAAAGTGCTGCAGTTGCAGTTGTGAGCCACCATGCCTGGCCCACTACTTGTGACTTTTAAGATCTTTTATTTTTTAAGTTTATTGTATTTTTTGTAGAGATGAGGTCTCATTATGTTGCCTCAACTACTCTTGAACCCCTGGACTTAAGTAATCCTCTTCCCTTGGCCTCCCAAAGTGCTAGGATTAAAGGCATGAGCTGCAGCACCTGAACCTACTACTTGTGGCCTTTGAATGAGATCCTTTCTTTTTTAACTTCTTTAACTTTTTTAGCTTCTCCCATGGTACAAGTTGATGAGAAGGGTGAGAAAGTAAGACCAAGTCATAAGCGTTGTATCTTGATTCTTCGAGAAATTCCTGAAACAACACCAATAGAGGTAAGTCATTAATTTTTTTTTTTTTTTTTTTTTTTTTGAGTTGGAGTCTCCCTCTGTCACCCAGACTGGAGTGCAGTGACCGCTCCCGGCCACCGCAGCCTCAACCTGCTGGGCTCTGGTGATCCTTCTGCCTCAACCTTCCGAGTAGCTGCAACTACAGGCGTGCTCTACCATGCCCAGCTAATTTTTGATTTATTGTAGAAATGAGGTCTCGTCAAATTGCCCTGGCAGGTCTCGAACCTGCGGCCTCAGTCAATACACTTACCTCAGCCTCCCAAGGTGCGGGATTGCAGGCTGAGCCACCGAGCCCGGCAATCATTTTTAAAGCTAAATGTTCTTTAACTATAAATTTGAATAGATATATAAGCAGAGTATAAGCCAATGCCCTCATATCCATTACTATGAATAGGATAATATGTGTTTAATTCTGAAGTACCTGAATGATACAGAGGGTGGAAAAGTTACATAGTTCTATGTTCTTATAGGGGTAGACTAGCAGCTGGGCATGGTGTCTCATGCCTATAATCCCAGCACTTTGAGAGGTTGAGCCAGGAGGGTTGCTCGAGCCTAGGAATTTGAGACCAGCCTGGGCAGCCTAGCAAGACCTCGTCTCTTTAAAAAAAAAAGGGAAGGGTAGCCTGTATTGCGGTGATACTGATTCTGAATTAAATGGTTTGACAAATGGCAGTTAAAATATAAATATGCTGTTTTGGAAACTTGAGAATTAATCTGTAAGAATGAATGTAAAAGAGTATTTTGACGTAGGATTAATGAGGCAGGACTAACCTGTTTGTTGGCAAAATATAAAGCAAAATGGCAGTCATTAAGAAGTCCTGTTACAGGTGCAAGAGTAAATTAATATTTGAATGAAACAGTGTAATCTGTTCAGCAATTAGGTTCTACCAAGTGTTGCATACCTTGCAGTTAACTTAATTCCAAAGGCTTTGTTATCTGTTTTGAAGTTGAAGCAACCGAGCCTTAGGATGATTAAGTAACTTGCCAAAGGATAAATGGGCTGATAAATGACAGTCTGGATTTGAACTTGATTCCTCTGATTCTAAAGCACATACTTCTTAACCACTGTGCCATAGAGCTTTGCTTTAAGTTGCCATGTTAAGGCACCATAAATTAAAGAAGGCAGGATTAATCAGTAACTGATCTATTGGAACTGATTAGTCATTTAGAAAAAAAATCTTTAGACCTTTGCCACATAACAAAGTTGATGCCTTAATAGTTAATCTTTTTGTCTAAAGTTATTCAATATTAAATCTCAGAATGAATATTTTCTAAAATTTAGAGTGGTGAGAGAAATGAGAAAAGGAACTATATGTTAAAAGTAACATATTGAAAGAAAACTGTGGAGTAGAGGAATATTTACAATATTAAGAAACAATGTAGACTGGTCCTGGATGCTCACACCTATAATTCCAGCACTTTGGGAGCCTGATGCAGGAAGATTGCTTAAGTCTAGGAGTTCAAGACCAGCTTAGGCAACATAGCAAGACTATGTTTTTGCAAAAAAAGTTCAAAAGTAACTGAGTATGTTTGCATGCACCTATATTCCTGGCTACTCAGGAGGTTGAGGCAAGAGGATTGCTTGAGCCCAAAAGTTCGAGGCTGCAGTGAATGCTGATCACACCATTGCACTCCCATCTAAGTGACAGAGTGAGACCTTGTCTCTAAAAAAATAAAAAGGCCTGGTGCGATGACTCACGCCTATAATCCCAGCAGTGGTGAAAGGATTGCCTATGCCCGGGGGCTTGAGACCAGCTTGGGCAATTTAGTGAGACCCCATCTCTACAATAAATCAAGAAAAATTAGCTGAGTGTGGTGTTACACACCTGTAGTTCCAGCTACATAGAGGGCTGAGGTGGAAGGATCGTCTAGTAGGTCGAGGCTGCGGTGGGCATGAGCGTGCCACTGCACTCCAACCTTGGGCAACTAAGATTCCTACTCAAAAACAAACGAAAAAAACCAGATAAAGGATATGAACCTAAACTATAGAGCCAGGCAGTTTGGGTTTGAATTCCAGCTTTTTTTATGTTAGCTGTAACCTTGCCTCTTAACCTTTCTTGCCTTGGTTTTCTCATGTGTTAAATGAGTGTAGTATTGAGTGTAGGGATGTTGTGAGCATTATATAATGTAATATATGAAGAGCTTCGGTATCCGGCAAGTAAAATTAGCCAGTATTATCATTTTTATAGTTATTATAATTCATATATTGGACACATAAAGGGTTTGTACACATGACAAATGGTAAATAAAATGACCAAAGCAGCAACATAATGTTTATTTTTTAAAATGTAAAGGAGATCCAGATGACTAAAATAGCCAGAGAAAGGTAGCCTAACCTAAGTAGTAATCATGAATTTTTTTTTTTTTGAGTTGAAGTCTCACTGTGTTGCCTAGGTTGGAGTGCAATGACTCGCTTGCGATCACCACAGCCTTGACCTACTGGGCTCAGGCAATTATTTCAGCCTTCCAAGTAGCTGGAACTACAGGCACATGCTACCACGCCCAGCTAATTTTTTGATTTATTGTAGAGATGAGTTCTTACCAAGTTGCCTGGGCTGGTCGTGAACCTCTAGGCTCAGGCAATCCTCTCAACCCAGCCTTATGAAATTTCATATTAAAATGAGAGTTTGGGATGATCACCTCTTATGGTTCCTATCAGATGGAATACATTTTTGATTACTTTAAATCCAGGCTTCCCTTATGCTTGAGAATATAAATCTATGAGCTTAACTGTTCCCTTAGAATGATAAAGCCTTGGGAGAGAGGGTGAGAAGAGTGAGGGATAAAAAATTACCCAATGGATATAAAATGCTCTGTTCAGATGATGGGTGTATCCAATGCCCAGAATATACAATTCATCCATGTAACCATAAACCACTTGTAGCCCTAAAGCTATTGAAAAAAAAAAAGGATAGCTGGCCAGGCTTGGTGGCTCAGCTTGTAATCCCAGCACTTTGGGAGGCCGAAGCAAATGGATTGCTTGAGCCCGCAGGTTCATGACCATCCCGGGCAACTTGGCGAGACTTCGTCTCTACAGTAAATTAAAAAAAAAAAAATTAACCAGGCATGGTAGCATGTGCCTATAGTTCCAGCTATTTGGTAGGCTGAGGTGGACGGATCACCGGAGTCCAGCAGGTCGACACTGGGGTGGCCATGAGTGTGCCACAGCATTCCAGCCTGGGCATGGAGTAAGATTCCAACTCAAGAAAAAAAAGGTAAAGCCTGAAAATAGAGATTATGTTAGCATTTGAATAACTTCATTTCATACTTTAAGGGAATTAGAAATATTCAGAGAGTTTGTGTGGATGTTTGAAGGTAGAGACCAGTGGGTGGTAACCTAATAGTTCCACAGATAGATCACCAAAATTCTGATAATTCTGGACTGAATGGGAGTGTTTTGGGGTTTGGGAGGAGGTCTTGAGCCCAATAATAGCTCACTGCAAACTTAAACTCTTGGGCTCAAGCAATGCTCTTGCCTCAGTCTCTCCAGGAGCTAGGACCATAGATGTGCACAACCACAACTACCAAATTTTTTGTATTTTTTTCTAGATATAGGGTCACACTATGATGCCATGGTTAGGCTCAAACTCCTGGCTTTAAGCGATCCTCCTGCCTCGGCCTCCCGCAGTGCTGGCATTTAAGGCATAAGTCACTGCATCAGGCCTGGATGAGAATTTTTTTGTTCGAAATTGGTGATCTTTTACCATATTCACAAAAGTCACAGAATTAAGCTGGTTGCCCTTTTATTTATTTTAAGGAGTATTTGACACAAGAACATTTCATCATAACTATAAACATTTTATTTTTTAAACTCGGTGTACTGAAAACTGGAAGGAGTTAGAATGCAAACTAGACTTCATAATTGTCATGTTGATTTTCCCATCAGCTTAGTATTTAATCTTTTAAAAAAATTCATACCTAGTCATATTTTGATATCTTGTGGGGCAGTTTAGCCTACTCAGATGCTTTGAATATTTGGGAGTTGCTGGTTATTTTTTTTCCTTTTTTTTTTTTCTTTTTTTGAGTTGGAGTCTCACTCTATTGCCCAGACTAGAGTACAGTGGCCACTCCCGGCCACCGCAGCCTCGACCTGCTGGGCTCCAGCGATCCTTCCACTTCAACCTTCCAAGTAGCTGGAACTACAGGGGCGTGCTACCATGCCCAGCTGATTTTTGGTTTATTGTAGAGATGAGGCCTCGCCAAGTTTTCTGGGCGGGTCTTGAACTCGCGGGCTCAGGCAATCCACTCATCTCAGCCTCCCAAAGGTGTAGATTTACGGGCTGAGCCACCGAGCCCGGCTAGTTGCTGGTTGTTATTTTTCTTGAATTTTAAGTATTAGACAAACTGAATTTTGATGGTATACAGAGCTGGGTTTGAGTGTCACATTTAGGTAGTGTGAGTACAGTTAAGCCATCTAAGCTGTCATTTCCTCATGTATAAAATGGAGGTGTTAAAAGCTTTGACACAGGGTGGTTTTGAGGAGTAGATCAGTGTCTGATCCTTTGTGACATTTCAGTAGCTACTGTTTCCTCTCCTTCTATTTTAGGAATGCTTATTGTTAACTTGCTGTTTTCTTTTCATTTTTCTTTATTTCTTTTTTGGGGGGGGGTTGGGGTCTCACTCTCCTCAGGCTGGAGTTCAGCGCCACAGTCACAACTCACTGCAGCCTTGAACTCCTGAGCTCAGGTGATCCTCCCACCTCAGCCTCGCAGGAAGCTGGAATTTGCAGCCATGTGCCACCACAGCAGACTAATTTTTTTTTTTTTTGAGTTGAAGTCTCACTCTGTCACCCAATCTGGAGTGCAGTGGCATGCTCACAGCCACCGCAGCCTCAACCCTCTGGGCTCAGGTGCTCCTCCCTCAGCTTTCCAAGCAGCTGGAATTACAGGCATGCATCACCATGCCCAGCTAATTTTTCTTTTTGATTTATTGTGCAGATGAGGGCTCTCCAAGTGGCCCAGGCTGATCTCGAACCCGTGGGCTCAGGCAGTCCTCTCACCTCAGCCTCCCAATGTGCTGGGATTATAGGCATGAGCCACTTCGTCCAGCTTTTTTTTTTTTTTTTTTGCATTGGAGTCTCACTCTGTTGCCCAGGCTGGAGTGCAGTGGCTTGCTCACGGCCACCACAGCCTCAACCTACTGCGTTCAGGTGATCCTTCCAAGTAGCTGGAACTACAGGCATGTGCTACCACACACGTGGCTAATTTTTTATTTATTGTAGAGATGAGGTCTCACCATGTTACCCAAGCTGGTCTTGAACCTCTGGGCTCAGGCAGTCCTCCTGCCTTGGCCTCCCAAAGTGCTGGGATTACGGACTTGAGCCACTGCACCTGGCCCAAGTTTTTGTTGTTGTTGTTGTTGTTTTGGAGTTGAAGTCTCACTCTGTCACCCAGAGTGGAGTGCAGTGGCCGCTCCTGGCCACTGCAGCCTTGACCTGCTGGACCCTGGCAATCTTTCCGCCTCAGCCTTCCAAGTAGCTGGAACTATAGGCGCGTGCTGCCACACCTGGCTAATTTTTGATTTATTGTGGAGATGAGGTCTCGCCAAGTTGCCCAGGCGGGTCTTAAACCCACGGACTCAGGCAGTTCACTCACTTCAGCCTCCCAAAGCATGGGATTACAGCTTGAGCCCCTGAGCCCGGCTGTTTTTTGTTTTTTGTTTTTTTTGAGTTGGAGTTTCATTCTGTCGCTCATACTGGAGTGCAGTAGACGCTCCCGGCTACCGCAGCCTCGACCCAGTGGGCTCCGGAGATCCTTCCGCCTCAGCCTTCTGATTAGCCAGAATTACTAGCATGTGCTACCACGCCCGGCTGATTTTTGATTTATTGTAGAGATGAAGTCTTGCCAAGTTGCCCAGGCGAGTCTCGAACCTGCAGGCTCAGGCAATCCACTCACCTC